CTTCATGGCAGACATGGTCGGGAAGCAGGAAGCATTTAGCGAGTGACAATTCATTCACCTACTCCGTCAACTTGCAGAAAACATATACGTGCGAGCTCAGTAGACAGCTGTCGAGCCTCATGGAGATGTTCACCTCGCAGAACCACCGGATCAGGTGAAGGCAACCGCCGCCATCATCACTGTAAGTGGAGACACGGACCCTGAAGTTGTCGGTCTTATTCTCGATCGGCATGGGACTCGACACTCGCTGACGAAGATCAGTGAGCTCACGCTTCATAAACGCCAGGGACCAGACATTGTTGGACTTTAGTAACGGCGGTAAACAACGTCCGGACGACGGCTCTGTAGCACCCCATTTTCAATCGGTGACAAGTACGTGCTGTTGAGTGTTTTTCGAAAAATGAGAAAATGAAACATGATTGATGGGCATTATTCCGGATTAGTGACACTATCGACCTGGGTATGGGAATGTTGCAGTAGATTGGACCAATTAGTAATGGATTGGGGCGAGGGGCGCTGCGATGAAGTCCTATGTGTTGACACCGACCCACAATGAAGAATGGAGAGCGTGGAACAAGACACGACGGGGAAAGATTCGGCGAAGCCGAGATCTCGAACAGCGAAGCCGTAGTCGAATTATAAGAGGACAAACATTGAAGACCTCAGTCTTGGGCGACTATATCGGAATGATTAGGCCAAGTATCACGGGGATGAAGACTGCGAAGACGTGGTGGACCCCGATGAGAGCCAAGACTCAGAAGATCTGAGTATTGTCGAACAGAAACTTATCAATCCAGTATCCGACATCACAAATTCTGGGTTCTTGAGTATGCCATGATGGATCCTGCGGATATCGGACAGCGAGAGTTCGAGGACTACACTGCAGATCGATCAAGATCCGGTATGAAGGACAGCTGGGTGACCTAGATCAACTAGGATGAGCAGGTACATAACTGAAGATGAGAGAACTAGTGGTTATGGGGATAGAGACAGTTGGTGCATAAGACCTAGCTATACAAGATACCCAAATTTGCATTGTGTTATACAAATTCCTTCCTGCCCACAAGATCTGGAACGACATCGACCGCATCGAGCTCAGTGAAGGTTGGGAATAGCTGATCTAATGTTGGGTTGTCATACCCGGATAGCATTTAAGTCAGATCATACCACCTAGTGCGTTTTCCCTTACAAATGCAGATTAAGAAGTGTAACCAGATTTATTTACTACTTACAGTGAAATACCTGTCTACTCTCAACTATCAAGATCCCACTATTGCAAGCGGCAGACACGAGGAAATGAAAAACCAAGGAAACACAACCACAATGCTATCAACGGTTAGATATCAGATAAAGCCCACCAGATCCGGCAAGTTTGAAGCTTTAGCTTGTGAGCTGGGCTCTACATCGCATGTAGAGTGAAGA